CCCTCATGCAGCAGCTCCTGCTGAGTCCTGCCTCTCTTGTGGCCTCTCATGCAGAACCTGCCTCGAGCAGAGGTCGTGGTCAAAGGTGGACAAAATAACCTCAGTGTAGGGAAAAAAGAACCCCATCATTTTATACTTGTGATAAATAAATTTTACTGGATGAACTGTGCCTCAAATGTGGCCTTTTACAAGGTTGTGGTGAGCTCAGGCTCCTGCTTGTTTATTTTCTGCTGCTTTTCTTAATTCCCTGTGTTTATATTGGGATCTCAGAGAGTAACAGCTGTTCTTTTATTTTCACTAACATAAAAACTAAGAGTTTAAAAACCCCTTTTGATCAAAATAAGCACACACAGATAAACATTGTGTGTGTATACACACATACACACACACACACATATATACACAGTATATATGTGCACATTAATGTAACCTATTAAAAATCTATTCCATATTAAAATAATTATAAAAAAAGGAAATAAATGCATTACAATAATCTGATGAAAAAATTTCGAGTGTAGAGAATTACTGATTTGTAAAATATATAGAAAAATAGATTTTTAATGTGATACAGCTTATGGAACGGGACATAATGCATTGTAATAATAAATAATAGATAAATCCCCAAGTCGTTTATTCCAGAAGAGAAGCCACAAGGTGTCGCTGGGATGCAAAAAAACCAAAATACTGCAGTAAGGGGGCACCACCTCCAGCAAAAAGAACAGTTTTCAGAATGGCTTTCGACTTAAATAACCTTTGGAACGTGTTGCATTTCAGGTTGTGTGATTTCTGTGCCCCAGCAATATTTTTCCTTGCTCTTTGTGAATTTTGATGCCAATGGTTTAGATTGTCTACCAATATACTTAGGAAGGCATCCAAAAGAACCCTGTGAGTATTTTAATAAGAAATGTAATTTATCTTACGAAGGACTATGATTTAAAAGGATTTTTATGGACAGTGGACTACCTGAATTCTTCATTTCCATGAGGGGATCCTTCCCAATTAAATGTGTGCCCTGCAGCTAAGATCAAACCAAATAAATGCAATTTCTGGTCATCATAACAACTTCAGTGATTGGAAGCAAATTGCTGCTCATCATAAGTAGTTTCCTTTAAAAAATTCCACTAAATCCAAGAGATGGAAGTGAAAGCACTGTAGCTTAATCCTATGGAAATCCAGGAACAGGGAGTTTGCTGATGGATTGATTTTCTCTCTGGAACTCACTTTATTATTTACACTGTGTCCACGTGTGGTTTAATTTTCTCTCTGCACTGGGAACAATAAAACTGGATAAACTTTGTCATGCAAAGGGTGAGGGGATGGAGAATACACTGGGATTATAATTGCTTTATTAGCACTGTGCCACTCCTTTCTTTGACACCAAACAGGACCAGGGTGTAGCTGGGAATGCTCTCATCTCTGTGATGTCATCAAGTCATGGATATTGTACCTCTGGAGCACAAATTCCTTCCTTCTTTTCTTCCTTTAAGGAAATAAATCCCTTATTCTTGCATGGGTAATGCAACAGGACTGAATGAACATTTTCTTAACAGGATTTCCCTCAGCTTCAGCTGCTCACACACCCATAAACATTTGCATTTTATTGTGATTCTCATGGACAATGTCATTTTCTCTGCAGAATTTCCTCCAGCACAATTCACCTCAAGACCTGACAGGCAGCTCTGAGTGGGTGTTTGACCATTTTTATTGTTTTACAAACAAATGTAATGGTCAAGGAACGAGCCAGCTCCTGCAAATCCAGAGCAGATTCACTGGGTAGTTTAACCTATTTTCATTATTTTTAGAGAAAATTTGAAAGAGGCTTCTCTAAAGGTCTGTCAAAAGTAGTCAAAGAGGTAAGGAAATTTGGAAAACCCACAATTTTGTTGCCTGCAAGTAGAGCAGGTTTGTTTATGGAAAACTTTTTAAACCATATTCCTATATAAAGTTCCATTTTCAGCATGGTGCTGGGTAAAACAAACTGTCATGATTTAAATAACAGAAGCAGCTTCATTTTTGATGGATTTTTTTACCATAACAGGTAGAACTTCTGTGACTCCAAGTCTCCTCCTGCCCAGCTTCTCTGCCCTCTGTGCACCAGCAGAACTTGCTACAGAGTCTGAGTAAGAGTTTGCAGATAAATAAAACAAGTAATGTAGAAAACCTTTATTTAAGAATTCTCCCCATTCAGCTATCTCAGATTTAATGGGTTTAACAATCCCAGGAGCTGCCCCTGTGAGGTTTCCCTCTGGAATTTGCTGCCTCTGGCACTGTGACAGGGAGAGCTTTGCCAGCCCTCAGAGCTCTGCAGGACCGACCATCCCCACCAGCACTTGGCTGCCCAGTGCCAAACAAAAGCTGATTTTCCCAATCATTGATTTGTTTCCTGATGGATGCTTAATTGGAGTGGGGCTGACCACTGTGAGCATTTATAAATTGAGGCATGTTTTTATGCACAGTTCACCCAGTCTGGACTAAAATGGAAACTCTTCTGAAACCTCCAGATAATAAAGAAATTCAGAACATGGCACACCTGGAACTGCATTAATGAGCATAGGCTGCTCATTTAAAATCAGAAGTAGCAAAACTCAGCAATTACTCTTCGTTATCTCCAGTACTTTGATTTCTACATGTGCACGGAGGTGATTTGGGGTAAATTAGTGGCTTTGCATTTTGTGTCACCTGCAGAAATGGGCACTGTCCCCTGCCCTGCAGATGAAATGGCTGTTTCTCAAGAATAGGAAATAATTTCTTACATTAGGAAAGACTGTTCAAAAGTGAAAGGGGCAGCTTTGTTTTAACAGACTGATTTTACTCTTAGCAAACCCAGCTAAAAAATAACTACTCATGAGGAGTTATCTGCTTTAAATTCTATAAATGTGTTTCTACAAACGTGTTTTTCCCCTAAAACTGGGAAGATTAATGGGTATTTACAAATGGAATCTTCAGCAGAAAATCAGTCTTTTCCTACCCTAAACTGGTATAACAAGGCAAATTTTTAGAGTCTGATTATCTGTGAGGAAAACTAACAGATATTGCAAATATTCTGAAGGAATATCTCTGGTTTTCAGGTTTTCACTGCATTTTTGTGCTCAAGTGCAATCCAAAATGTAAGGATAGCCTAAGGAAAAGAAGATTAATGTGGCATAACATCTTGTTGCCATCAGTAAGGGCTTCAGGAATAACCTAAACAAAAAAGAAGGAACCAGAAGTCCACCATGCCAGAATATTATCTCTGCAGTCATCCAAAAATATGGTTGAAGAGCAAAAACCCCTTTCCATGGATGTGCTGAGTGACAGCACTGACTGAGGAATTTAGGAACCTGCTAAAAATGCTCCTTGGAGCCTGCTTTCATTCTGCACTCAGGTGAGCACTTTTTCTTTGGGAATGATCAGGAACTTTATCCACATCCAACAAACAGCCAGCTCCTTTGGGTGTCAGCAGTACCAGTGAACCCTTTCCTCCCCTGGCTGCTCTGAGATCCAGGACAGTTTACCCAAGACCATTTTTTTCCCCAAAATGTGAAATATCAAATGTGAATCTATTCATGTGACAGCCATGTCTATTACTGCTTTGAATTTTGATGTGTTGACTTGTATTGACTGGATAACCCTAAATTTGCCTCTTTGCTTCCTTTTAATACCTGGATTATCTTGCTCCTAAAAGGAACTATTTTGGCAGAAGGTGTTTTATTTTTTCCCCTTCTTCTTTACCTCTCAATGTCCTTTACAATGGACTTGAGTCATGTTGGATGGAAACTTCTCCATTGTATGTGGTTCTGTGGCTGAAACAATTTTGTCCTCAGTTTCAAGTGGCTGCAACATAAATAGAAGCCACACCACTTATTTTTTCATGTGGGATGGGGTATTTTTATATCTTAAAGCATGATGAGGTATTTGAAGAACAAATTAGTCACTCTGCCTCAAAAACTGGTCTGTCTGAGGTAGGCCACAAAATTGTTCTCAAATTGTTTACCTGGTGTGGAGCCTGCTGGGAACAAAAATAGATCCTTGATTTAGGCTTGGTATTTAGCTATTTAGGCTTGGTAATTCCTGGCTTACAGTTTGGCTGGTTCTGGTGTTCAGCTGATGCATGTGGAGTGAGAAGGTCCAGGGCAGCACCAAAACCCTTAACAGGTCATGGGCAGGGTGGAATTGATTCTCAATTTCACCCACAGCTTCTCTGCAAAAACTCTTCTAGTTCCTCACTCTAAAGAACTGATGTCTAATCTAAATATCTCTCCATTTAAAACCATTCCCCTGCCACTCAGTCCTGGTAAAAAAAAAAGGTTTATAGTAGTACTTATATTTTAAGTACAGACTCCTCAGGTCAGCACTTGTTACTGGCGTCTGTTTAATTCCATCCAATTACTTACCCATCCAATTCCACCCAGCAAATCCACACCTCTCCCAACTTTTCTGTTCTCAGAGCCTTTTACAAAAACACCACACTCCCCAAAGTTATTAAAAGGATCACTACAATAAACCCCACATTTCTAAAGCATGGAAATGGAAACACAAAGGTGGTTCCTGGAAGCCAGCTGGGCCAGGGGCAGAATTCTCCATCCACACACGTTAACTGTCAGGTCGTGAAAGATAAAATAAGTGAAATGTGCATTTATTTGCAACCTTTGACCCATGTCTTCTACTATGTTGAATGTAATCTCAAAAGAACAAGAATTATTTTTGACATCCTTAGGACAAGTGTTTTCTATGACAGTGTTCCTTAGTATTTCCATGATATTTTCTATATGGGACTGAAAGGAAGAGGACAAAGCCTGGTAATTCCCTGCACCCATGGGTAGGAACACAGCAATACTTGCACTTCATGATTATATCTGGAGACAATATCTCTGAAATATAACAAACTGATAAGATGTGTTGTAAGTTCTCAAATCCTTGAGGTTCCACAGGTGTCCGAATTCTTGGAGGAAAACTTTGTGCTTAAAACGATAGACCAAGATGCTCTATTTTAATTGAAATTTAATTTAATTTTATCCTACCTGAGGCTGCTGAGTGGCAGTGGGTCTCTGAGGAGATGGAATAGGAGTTTTGGACAACATTTGGTTCATTTTGCTTACGACTAACTCAGTGATGTGCTGCCTGTCTTCGGCCTGATGCTCCCCAATCAGGGGCATGGCACAGTCCATCACCTGCAAAATGCAACAGGACATCAGTGCTGGGAAGGAAACTCTCCTCACCCCTGCAGGAGGGAAGGCTGGGTAGTTACAGCAGTGCTTTTAGCAGAAGACACAAGAATTACAGCCTTTTATGTATTCCATCAGAAAATAAACAAGAGAAAGGCAACTTTGCAATGCCTTCCCCTCCCAAGCTCCCACAACATAGGAAGAGAAAAAGCTTCCTTTCACACCTGGGCACACACTTTGGGAACAGGGAGAGGAAGCACAGGGCTGATAAGGAAAATGAGATTTCCCAGGCTATGCAGTGAGCTGAAGGAATTTCAGCTGAACTTTCCTCCCTTCCCTGTTTTGTGGCTCACACCACATTCCTGAGACGAATTGCCACAGGGAAATGCAGAGTTAAACTTCAGCTTCCTAGCAGTTTGGAGTTTTGCTAGGGGAACCTGGGTACTTACTGATTCGTGGAAAACTTCAAATTACACCTTGTTGTTACTGATAACCTTTTTTAAACAGTAGTGTGGCTGCAGAGAATTAGTAGGAATTTCTACAGAGAAAGCAGGATGGCAGAGAGGCAGATAAAAATGGGCACATTTCCATTCTAAACATGACAGGTTAATAGTGCTCTGTGGTTATTTATCACAGCTATTCCGATGAATAAAACTAATACTGAATTCTGCCACTGCAGTGGGTGCCAAGCATTTGTTATTTCTCCAGAATATTTGCTATTTCTCCAGAATATTTGTTATTTCTCCAGTGTAGCCACTTCTGCCACATCTGTGTTTGTTTCAGAGGAAAAAAATAGCATAACATAACCCCAGGTGTTATTCACAAGGGCACTGGGCATTCCTACTTAGAAAAACAATAGGATTTAATTCACTTCTGAGAAACTGCAATTCTTTTTGCATGTGCATCAGGGCATGTCCATGTCACCTGCAGTGCTGCACTCTGGTGTTTCTCACAGGTCTGGGTGGAAGAATTTTGTTATCTGAGGGGTGCACAGGGATCAATCTGAAGAGCAAGAACACACCCACACTGTGTGGATCCCTCCTGAGGTGGAAGGGATTTAGTGGCAGCAAAACTCTTCTCAATCCTCCAACCTCCACAGAACATCTCCTTTATTAACAAAGAGCAGAGTTTTGCCTTCCTTCTTTTAGATTTTCAAGGGTTTCTAGGAATTAGACACAGAAGTTGGGTGTTTAAATAGATGTTTGGATCTGAAAGACCATTGCACCTTGCAGTAGTTGGGAAGGAGCTGCATTTATTATTTATAAATAGTATAAACCTTGAGCTTTTCAAACTGTGGTGAGAGCTATAGAAATTCTTCCTGCGTGACAAAGGCTATTTTGTTCCAAGAGTGGGATTAGCTCGAAGTCCCAAATAATTTCCATGATTCTTCTGTTTGTTCATTTACAAGATTCACTGGCATTGTGTGCTGGCAACCAAAATGTTGGCCATGCTTGTGCTGGGAATTTCAGATCTAGGAGGTCTCTGTGCTTCTTCATAGCCAAAAGGCTTGAAAATAACCCCAGAGTAAACAACGCAACAATAATTGAACTCCAGAACAAATGTTTCCTTAGAAATGAATGACTGGTTTTTCACGCTAGGGCCACACCAACGGCACTAAAGGGATGTTTAATAAGTACACTGAAAGGTTCTTTAAAGTTTACCATCTTTTTTAACAATCATAGTTTTGAGTGGAACATGCCAATGTTTTCCATTAATTGATCAACCAATAAGAGTTGATATTTCTGAAGGGGTAAAATGGAGCCTTGCAGGTTGTGTGGCTCTTTAATATTCATTTCTGCTCACTTACTGCTATTTTTAAAATTGTATAAACACATTAAAGATCCACTTCCTTATATCCTAAGCTGTTTCTTGTGAGAGGAATGTGCATGGTGCCTGGAGGGACCCAAATTTTTTGGGTTTGCCAGGACTGTGAAGTGTTAATAATAACTGAATATAGAATGTTTTGGTGTGAAGGGCACTGGATGTTTGGTTCTTCACTGCAAACCATCTGATTTTCAGAGCAGGAGTGATGTTTGGGCTCTAAAAAATCTGTTTTAATGAGAGCTATTTTTAAAAATGTGCACCATAGGGTGTAGATGAACCCCTCTCTTACCCAACATCAGTTAAAAGTTTCACAAGCATGCAAAAAAACCCTCCCTTTGTTTACCATGCACTTACATTAAAACAATTACTTGGAATGACTGTGAAATAAATTGCCTCCAATAAGGTTCTGCCAAAGGATTAGGCAGGATTAAGATCTGGAGGATTTGGTTTGGACTGAATTTCTGCTCTCAAGTGCTTCTACAACTGCAAGTTCACACATCAGCTTCCTTTGGGAGGTGCTGCCATGGTGTGCAGCACCACTGGTGGGAAAAGTGAAAATAAGGAGCCTTGAGGTGTCAGATCTTCGGGTTCACTCCAGTAGAGAAGTTCTTACACTCCTTGAATGAAGAATTTCATAGTCACAAATTGAGGCAGATTCAAACAGATTTGGCACTAAAACCAGAGCCATTTGCCCTTATCACTTGGGCACGTTTTGAATTTGTTAAAATTCTTGGCTTTGTTGCCACAGGGACACAAATATTGTTGGCCAAAGATGTGGCAAGAGAGCACCTTGCCTCTTTGGATCAGCTGAGATCCAAATGGATGCTTTCATGATGATTTTTGCTGTATTTTCTTTTCCTTTCAGAGAATCCAGTCAATTTTCATTCCTAGTAAAAGAGTTAATGACAACTGTTTTATATTTTTATTTTATATAAATGTATCTTAAGAATATTTTGGGCAACACCAACAGCTTTTAAATCCTGTGAGTGACTACAGGAATGTCAGGCTGGCATTTCCCCCCCTTCAGAAGATTTGACAAAGTTTAAATATACACAAAGCTCCCTGTTTATAAATAGTCTATTTACAGCCTGTGCTAGATTTAAAATCCCGTTTAAACCCAGCCAGTTTTTAGTTCAGCATATAGTTCAGCTATTTAAAATATTGGAGTTTGCCACTAAGAGGATTTCACAGGAAAAAAAAAGGACATCTGTAATTTATAAAATCAAATACATTCCTTTTGCAGACGCCAGTAAAAACATGGGTCACTATGAATTACAGTCATTTAATTCATATCACTGTGAACTTGCATTTTTATATCAATGTACTTTCATTTTTGTAGCCAGTTCTTTGGGATTAATTTATCTTATCACCCAAGGACTGACTGTATATATTAGTGGGAAAGGTGAATAGCTAAAATTTGGGGTACAAGAATGAGACTGGCAAAACAATGAAGAGAAATTCTGTAATCAGGAAGGGAAATGGGATGGGATTTGTAAAGGAGCCAGAGCAATTATAAGGTGTCAGTAATTGCAAAGGGATCAGGGTGTTGGAGGGAGAAATTCCCACTGCCACAGCCCACACCCAGCTCTGCTGCTCATCCCAAGGACTGGGATGTGCTGGGCAGAGATTTGGGAAGGGCTGGGAAAGGCAGAGCTGGGGAGGTTAAAGGAAGGGCAAAGGTAAAGAATCCTGTGGATAAAGTGGGAAAAAGGCATTTCCCAGGATGCTGAAATACAAGAGGAACAGGATGGAGCCAGAGGTCCATCGCTCAGCAGTGCCCAGGTAGTCTGGCAGGACAGATGCATCTCCTGAGGGAAAAGCCCAGGAATTCTAGGGGAAAACTGGGTAAGTGGTAAGTGCTCTGGAAGGGGGAATTAAATCAGGGTGATTTGAAGGTCCGTGCTTGGCAGGGTGATAACTGGGCAAAACTATTCCCTTTGGTCTGTGAATACAGCAATGTTCCAGAGCAGAAATGAGGAGAGACTTCTGAGTTTATCAGCAATTGCAGCTGGATTTAGCTCCCTCCCAGAGCCGAGCAGAGAATATTCTGTCCTGGATGGGAGGACAGGAAAAGGAGCTGAGCTTTTGAAGAATTCGAGGCCAAGAGCAGAACTTCCCATACAATTGTGCACAAACACTGTTTCTTCATTTTGGGCGTTGGTTTTCAGTGAAAGCTTTCTTCCTGAAATCCTTTCTAAGTCAAAAACACCACTTGGGAGCTAATTTTAATTTAGCTCAGGGCAAAATGAAGCAAGTGGGAAAAAGACACCTGCAGCAGCCCATTTAATCTAAAACAAAATTTGGGAGACTTCTGGGAGGCCACTCTGAAGGATTATCTTACATTTGTTCTCTTTTACTGCTCTCATCACCACACTCTGAGCTTTTATTTAGTTTCCCAGAGCTTTGCTTTTCCAAGAATGAAACAGGAAAGATAATATTCTGAAATATAAACAATGCTCTGCTCCTTCTAGTATTGAAACCTCAGAGGTGTTAATTTAAAAAGGGGAAAAGTCCATATATTTAAGGAGTTAAAAGTTTAATGGACCTTGATTTGATGTCTCATCAGGAAGAAGAGGGGAGGCAGTTAAATACCTGCATGTTGCAGTGATGTGTTAATAAAAATCCTGTTTCTACAGCTTGTCTGATGCTTGGCAGCTGAGAATTCCCACTGAGGGGGAAAGAACAGACACCAAATGAAGAGATGAGGCTGTTACACAGAATCATAACTTGGCCCTCATTCTGATCAACCTGACAGCCCCTCTGCTTAGCTGAGCCATCCTTTAATTAGTTCATTCCTGCCTGGGAGGAGTTTGGAGCCAGGTCCTTGGAGCAGGGCAGTGGCAGGCAGGAAGAACCACTGTGTTCCTCTGCAGGAGGCAGCTTTTCCCAGGGAAACACCAGGTTTAGAGAACCTGTTCTGCTAAAAGGCAAAGTTACCTCTTACATCCCCCACCTAAAAATCTGCAAGGAGCCCAAAACTTCACAGAAGAACACAGATGATTTTGTGCTTGAATAATAATATCATGTCAGTATTTTGTCCTCTTCAGCAAAACTGGTTTGGATATGTGAAGAATACTTGGGTAGAATTCTCCCCTAATTCCCATTCCCTCCCAGGGTGGGTGACACACACCTGTGTCCTCATCCGGGAGGTGGCACTGGCTGAATGTTCCAATGTGAAAATCAGGAGGAAGAAATCTTATTTTGTGTGTGTTTCACACATAGCAAGTGTTATTTCACCCATTAGGGAATCTCTGTGTTCTTTGTCAGGCGAGCTCTGCAGGATTAAGGTGTCAGTGGTACCCAAACCCTCCATTTTCCTCGTTTCTTCCTTGGTTTTTCCTTGTTTTAGGTGTGGTATCCCCATGGAAACATGAGGCCACAGCTGCCAGGATGGAGCTGCAGCCCAGGATTGCTGGACTGTCTGTCCTGCTCAGCTCCCTCGAGTGCACCATGCACGAGCCAGACTTAGGAGAAAAATCCTCCCTTTGTTGGTGCAGACGGTTTTCCACTCCTCATTGTAGCCCAGAATTCTGTTAAAATTGCCGTGTAATAACTGTTGATATCATAATTTTTCCAGATGTTCTGGTGGATGTGAATTTTGCAAACAGCCCCACATTTCAAGGTCTTTCACAGATTCTAAATGTCCTTGCTGATGAGCATTCCCATCTCCAGGACAATTCAGCTGATTCCAGACAACAGCAGGAATTATCACACTTCTATCCACACTTTTTTTTTTTTAATTGCAAGGTCTATTCTGCACCCTGATTAAAATGCTCCTGATGGATCCTGCAGCTCTGAGAATTTCAGGGTTTAGAAATTATGGCTGACTGTGGCATGGAAAATCAGGGGATTTGTTGAGAAGCAGGAAGTGAAGCAGTCTCAGTCCATGACAGAATTTGCAGTGGTTATTTTATTTTTAAAAGTACTTTTCCCTTTTGCTTTATCAACTTCTTTTGGAGTGAGGAGATTCTGGGCATCCTTGCCCACCTCCTGAATAAAATTCTAGGAACGTGGAAGATGCTGAAGAAATTGTGATAGGAAAGTGATGATAACTTACTTTATGGCTACACAAAGTGATATTTCTCCATTAAAAAACTCAAAGGAAATTAAAATCTACAACTTTTCAAAATTACCTACAGAAGAAACTTCTGATTCATGAGGATTCAGATCTTCAGGGCAATATTTAGGCAACAAAAAAAAAAAAGTAAAGTTGTTTTCACTTCATCCTTTCCAGGGCAAGGTATAATTTTGTTGGGGTTCCCTTGGGATGGAGCTATCTATAAACCTTCCTGGAAAAGCTGGTAAGGTTTCTCAGGAAAGAAATAATCAGGGTTGGGAAAATGTGCCATCAACATTTGGCTTTGTTTTGCAGTTTGTGTACATTTCCTCCAACACCAAAAGACATTCCCATCCATAGGGTTACATTTTCCAGCAAGTTTTGCCACTAATTTGGACCTGTGGCTTTGTATCATGATTGAAACAGTGCTCAAAAACACACAACCTTGACTGAAACACAAATAAGCCAATGCCCAGCTATCAGAAAGGTTCTTTCCTTGGCTGTTTATAAAGGCAGATATTGAAAAAAAAGCAGGATTTCTTACCTCAAAAATATAATCTTTTCCATCCTTCCCGTGTACAGCTTTAACAGCACAGATGTCCAAACCACCAAATATTTCAGAACAGGTGTCAACCCAAAGCTTGTACCTGTTTCACAAAAATAATTTGCTTGTGAGTGTCCCATCAGGCTCTTGGGTTTCTAGAGGCTCACCTAATAATGTATTTAACATTATATTCACCCTGAATTCAGAATTTTCACTACATTGGATGGGTCTGGTCCCTATATCAGGAAAATGAGTCAGAGGCTCTATCCTAGATCATGGCCCAACTGTTTTCTAAAGGAGCCAGGCTGATTTTATTCCTACAGGAATGAGCAGAAGGAGAAATCCAGGCAGGAAAACTTTTCAGGTGATGCAGAAAGACCAAAAATATGACATTAAGTGGGTTGTGAAGCAGGCAGACAAGAATTATGTTCTTCCTGCAGGGTTATAGACAACTACAGCAAAACTCAAGTGGAATTTAAATAATTCCAAGGAATTCTACAACTCCTAAAAAGGCTATTTCATACAGAGTTGGGCACAAAAATTCTTCAGTTTATTTTGTAATGTCACGGTAAGAGACTGAGTGTGGACTCTTTACCCATCCTACAGGTAGCAATACTATTTATTTTCCTTTTTTCTCCATGAATAGAGAGATTATCTGACCAACAAGGGGATGAGGAGTGATTTACTCAGAAGAAGAGTGAGGCAATTCCTGTGACTCCTGTAGCACAAGCTCTGAGAGGCCAAAGGCAAGGACAGCAAAGGCACTGGGAATGTTCAGTGACTCCCAGCAGGGCTGGGCAGGGAGGAAATGATCCTGGAATGATGCAGGGTGATGTCACCAACTGAAGGGCATGATTGGCTAAAAAACCCATTTCTAAAGCATTCATTTATCATGAATTTTCCTCTTTCCTTGGCTCACACTTGAGTCTGAAGCAGAGCTATTTCCTCTTCCAGCCCCTCTCCTGCTCCAGCCCCGGAGCCCTGATGATGGATTTGCCACCTCATAGGATTTTCCATTGAAAAAAAGCCCCCACTGTAATAAAAAAAGCATTTTATTTCATTGTGGGATCAAAGGAAATTCCTTGCTGGGCTGAGAGTCTGATTCATGTATAAATATCTTCAGTAAGAGCATCCTTTCCAAGTAAACTTATTAAGTCACATTCTTTGTATTTTCTTATATCAAATCTGTTCCAATGGAAAAGTTTTTCTTTTAAGCAGAATACAAAGAAATTGATTTGAAAAGATCCTGATGGCAATATCTTAGCAATGAAAATATTTTTTTTTTCCTGTGAGAAACATGGTTTTTGTCCAATATAAGAGGGTTTTTTGGATGCCTGACAATTTCAACATTTGTAGATGCACTGGCTGACTGGACTTTTTGCATGCACTTGCTTATAAATAACTTTTTTTTTTTTTTGGCTGTAAAATATTGTGTATCTTAGAAAGTCACGAGGACAACAAAACTTGTCTTGAACAGTAAATATCTGGACTTGAAATGGAAACAAAACTGAGAACATTTTCTCTGAAACACTGCAACATCAATCAGATTTATGAAAGTATATTTAATAGCCCATCTGCTGCCAACAAACACAGAGCTGGAAAAATCCATTTGCAAAGAGAGGTTTTGGATGGAGCAGCCTGCAGTGTTTGAAACCCAAGGCTTGCACAGTAGGTTTGACAAAAGGTCATGGGTGCTCTTTTCCCAGAGCCAGTGGGAGCAGCAGCAATAAAGGATAAAGGATAAAGGATTGCTCCCAGGGGGCAATACCAGGTGTGCCAGGTGAGGTGGGCACAGCTGGCACAGCTCTCTGGACAGCAGGAGCTCTGGAACAGTGGGAAATGAGGAATTGTGACCCTGAGATGTTCTGCTCCTCTGCCTCTCACTGTCCCTTCCTGCCACACTATTCTTTCTTCTCTGAATTTCTGGGATTTGTGTTCAGCCAACAATGCCCACCAGGCAGTGCTGCCAAGGCACTTCCTCCCCATCCATGGGTGTATTGAAACCAAACTTCAGCAGATCTGATGGGTTTTGCTGCGCTGTGAACCTCCTGCAGCCCTGCAGAAAAGTCTCTTTTCCCCCTGTGTGCCCTGCTCTGCTGTGAGCACCCCATGGGCACTGCCACAGGAGCAGGGCTGTGCCACACACCCCTTTCTCCCAGGACCACACATCCACCTTTCCAGTGCTTCTGGCCTCACCAGCACCAAGGAACTTCTGTTCCTTGTGAGTTCATGGGAAAATCCCTATTCTGCTCTGACTTCCACTGAATAACAGGAGCAGGAGCAGAGCTCAGAGAGCATTTCCAGCATTTCCAGCAGGAGCAGGGCAAGGGGAGCTTTCCCATCCTCTGGCACTGCCTTCCTGGGGGCACAAGTGGAGTTTGTGTGTCCCACACAGCCCACGGGCTGTAATTACCCAGCCCAGAGCTCACCCTGCCTCTCCCTCCCAGGGAAGACATAACCTCACTTTCTAGAGGGAGGTGGGAGGGAGTGAGAAAGAGAAAATAATGTGGCTGCAGTCCATCCCCAGAGGGGAGATCAGTGAGGACACAGTCTAGACAGGGGTTGGACAGCAGGAGCTGGAATTCCCATCTTTCTTGTTTTCACCTTTCCAGGGCAGGCAATGGTTCTGTTCCTGTGTCTCCCTCAGCTCGTAAGAGGCACCAAGTTGTAGGTTCCAGGCTTAAAAAAAAAACAACCAAGCAAACAACCCCACAAACCAGGACTACTGTTGAACTTTAAAATACCTTTTAAATGACACTTTCATTGTACAGACTTTATTTCAGCTTCCACTGGTGGCAGCCTTTGGAGAAGCTGAACAACAGAAAATCCATAGCCATTCTAAAGCCTCAGAGATTTAGTTTTGCAGGGAAAAGAGGTTTATGTTTGTGGAGCAAATGAGGGGGATTGAGAAAAGAGTTCTGAGCTTCAAAGTGGTGCTGCATGAATGTTTTCAACTGGACTGGAGGAATTATCCACGACAAGAATGGGAAAGAAAAGGAAAAGCACAGTAAACCAAAGTACAGATCTGGAATGATGGCACAGGGGAAATAAAGTGTCAGTGTATCCCAGCAATAGGGGAAAAAGCCTCACAGTGCACTTCAGTGGAAATTTATAAAATGAAAAGTAAGGAATTTGGGATTGAAAGTAGGAAGGAGAAATGGGATTTAAATAGGCAAAGTGCAGACTGGATTGCTTGGTTATGTAGCAGGATGGTAGGATGATGAAGGAAAGTTTTTTAAAAGAGGTGTGAGACTGGTGGGTAAGAGAGGGCAAAGGAACCAGGAGAAATGACTGACAGGTTAATCTGTGAAATTCAGTTTTCTGAAGGGAATTGCAGATATTTTCTAGAAGTAGAGGTGGATGTAGGAGCCCAAGGGCTCACGTAACACACCCAGGGCTGTGAGTGTGGGTAGTAACTCTGAAGCCATGTGGAACTCCTGGCTCTGCTCTTTCCCCTGACTGAGAGATCCCTTCTTCCCCAAACAAACACAATGCATGCACTGACTGTGAATTGTGTACCAACAATGGGATTCTTTTAAAATCACTTCAAATAAAACTGTTCATTTTTAAATTACCTTTTACATGAGACTCCACTTACTTATCTGACATAGCAATTTGTTCCAGCATGGCAGAGCCCGTGTTTGTCTTCCAGTTCCCAGATATGGAAGTTCTCCTGAAAGGGGGAAAACATTACAAAGACAGGCAGTGGTTTCACATTGCCATTATCCAATGCCTCTGCTTTTCCCATGCGTGCAGCAGCAGTACTGACACCTTTTCCTCAGCTGGCAGCTTGTAACAGAACATCTGAACCGTGAGGGGTTGTAAGAGCATTGTCAGGATTACACTTTGTACTGGAGGTACAAAGAATGGCTGGGAAATTTCATCTCCCCATTTATTTATTTATGGTTTTTTTTTTTCTAGAAACCCAGCTTGCTTTGATGAAGGGGCAGTGTTAGAAATGAGCTGGTGCCTGCTACAAAGGCATGAATTATCTGTAACACACTGGTACTGCAAAGGTAAATGTCAAGAAGCTTCAGCTTCTCCTTTCAAACCCACCCCACTGTGTCCCAACACTCAAAAAGCAACATATTTCTGTTTCTCACTCTGAAGTGATTTCAGATGTGTCTTGGAGCTGGAGTTTGGTTTCTCCTCCAGTGTTCACTCTTTGCTATTTACGGATATAACCTAAACATCCTATGTCAATTCACCTTCTATTTAACCTCTAAGAAGAAAAAAAACAAAAACAAAAACAAAAACCAAAACCAAAACAAAACAACAAAAAAAAAACATGTAAAGGTTTTTTTCCCCCTCTGCAGACCTTAGGACTGCTCCTAGGGCTGAGAAGATTGCTGCTTTGTGCAAGCTAAATGCTGTACTGGGAACAGGCTACAGATACGAGTTATGAAGTGTTTCCAGTTAGTAAAATCAAGGGAACATCTGCAATGCATTAAAAGTGCATCAGGCAGCAGCCAGAGCTTTCTCTCCATTTTCCAATAAGTTAATTACGAGGGTCAGTAGCGATTGTAGGGGAATGTTGACTTTTCTTTGGGACCCTCATAAAATTTAAAGCAAAAAGTTCTTCTGTGATGGCATGTCCTGTGTTGTGGGGAGAAAAGAGGGAAGGGAAGGGAAGGGAAGGGAAGGGAAGGGAAGGGAAGGGAAGGGAAGGGAAGGGAAGGGAAGGGAAGGAAGGGAAGGGAAGGAAGGGAAGGGAAGGGAAGGGAAGGGAAGGGAAGGGAAGGGAAGGGAAGGGAAGGGAAGGGAAGGGAAGGGAAGGGAAGGGAAGGGAAGGGAAGGGAAGGGAAGGGAAGGGAAGGGAAGGGAGGGAAGGGAAGGGAAGGGAAGGGAAGGGAAGGGAAGGGAAGGGAAGGGAAGGGAAGGGAAGGGAAGGGAAGGGAAGGGAAGGGAAGGGAAGGGAAGGGAAGGGAAGGGAAGGGAAGGGAAGGGAAGGGAAGGGAAGGGAAGGGAAGGGAAGGGAAGGGAAGGGAAGGGAAGGGAAGGGAAGGGAAGGGAAGGGAAGGGAAGGGAAGGGAAGGGAAGGGAAGGGAAGGGAAGGGAAGGGAAGGGAAGGGAAGGGAAGGGAAGGGAAGGGAAGGGAAGGGAAGGAAGGGAAGGGAAGGAAGGGAAGGGAAGGGAAGGGAAGGGAAGGAAGGGAAGGGAAGGGAAGGGAAGGGAAGGAAGGGAAGGGAAGGGAAGGAAGGGAAGGGAAGGGAAGGGAAGGGAAGGGGGTGCTTGTTGAGTGCTGAGTCTAAGGAAACCTTGTCCAGAAAAGAGGTTGTGTTGCGATTTCTGCTCAGTTTTTTAAAGGTGTTGTTTATATACATATGCCTGCTTAAAAATGAATAATTTAGGCTCATTACCACTCCATACAGACGTTTGGCATCTGACAAAAAATCCCTCAAATCACAGTTCAATCCCCTTGCAGACTTCTCAATGGGAATTCATCAGAATGCACTCTTCTAGGTGTTTTTTTAGGAAGGAAGATGTGACCAAATCAGGGGAAATAGTTGTCCTGAAGGCTTTTAGCCAGTATTTAACTCAAGATGCTCAGCTGCAGTGATGGAATCCCAGCACCACTGACTAGAGAGGCAAAGATGGCCAGATTTAAGCCCTATTTTCCCTCCACACTAGGAAAAGCTCCTGCAGAAGTCTCCAAATGGATGCTTGGCTGGCTGTGAGGATGCTGCAGGGGTCAGAGGAGGGCTGGGGGATGCTGTGGACACAGAATTAACTGGTGGGATCTCAGCAGATTGTGAGTTTGACACAGATAAACTCCAGAACAAGAGATCATGGGGAACTAATCCAAAACTACCCACCCAGACACCCTAAGCCCTAGAGATGATTTCTGTAATTATACATATGAAACATGTAGGTTTCCCACCCTTCTTCACTTCTGATGATTGCCAAGAGTCTTTCACATCATTATTTCTTCCTCTTTAACCAAACACTGAACAATAAATAAAACAACTCCTACACCTTTAAGTGCTTTACACTTAGGCTTAACATGTTTGCACTCGATTTGGTCTTTGCAAGAAGGAAGAACTGTTTTAGAATTGCTAAACAATTCATAGTAACTTGAGCTTCCCCTTTTCCAACACCTTCCTGCTTTATTTAGTAGCATTTGCAGTATCCAATCCAAATTGCTGGGACAGGGACTTGTCATCAGAAAAATATGTAGAAATGTCTGCCTACTATTCTTAGGTAGGCAGCCTGCTCTGTGGTTTGATCCTCCAGCACTATTCCTTTGCTTGGTGTGCTTTACTATTGGTTTATTGACCTTTTGATCAAAGAACTTTAAGCCCTGGACTCACAGTCCTGCTTTTGGAGGGGAGATTTAGATACAGAGGTTTTGCATTTCTGTTTTCCTACATGGTGTGTGACCATTTTAAACTGGATTTCCTTGAAGTCAGCTGAATGCTGCCCGGGTGCCCAGGGCAGTTAAGTGTGTGTCACACAGCCTCTGGAGGGGCTGTGGTATTTACAGGGATCCAATCCTGCTTTTTTGGCCGTAATCTCTACTGACAGATGATAAGCACCAGTGTTTGGTGACTCATGGATCCACTTAAACCACAATTTCCCACAGAATTATAAAACTGAGGCTCTTAATAACGCTCTTTAAACTACAAAAACAAATGTTCAGCTGGTATTTTTTGTGGTGGCTCTCTAAGTGCTCTGTCACAGAGCAAAATGAGAACCAGCTGTAGAACAATGTTCTACTGACATCATGTATATGTATGTGCACATGAAATATTCTTCAGACGTTTGGTAAATCTTCTCCTTTCCATGCTGCTTTGTAATAACGAATCCGTATTTCATTTTGGTGTGTGATTTAAGCCTATGAAAGAATCCGGAGAAAAAAATGATCGCTAGGCTTTTAGCATTTGGATGAACCCAGAGTTTCTGAGGAGAAACTTAAAAATAAATAAAAAGGTAGGAGGAACAGGCTGTCATTTTAACTTATTTTTGCTGTCCCTTAGGCCAACTGCTTCTTCTGCAGAAAAGAAACATTTATGTTTCGGTATGATAAATTTACCATGGCTGACTCTTCCAAAATTATTCCTGATGCTGAACAGCATTTAAATTTCAAGTCAAAGGGAAAAAAAAAAAAAAAAAAAAAAAGGTGTGACTGTCTTCTACAAAATGCTGTGGTGCAATTTCTATCACAGGCGATTGAGCTCAATATTGCATTGGTACCTGGCCACGTGTTGGAGCCATCAAGAGCTGGGCCTTATCCCTAAACTCTGCCCTTGGGAGCTGTAATAGTGGGAAAAATCAGCTCTGTTTATTTGGGAAGGGGAAAGGTGGGCAGCACAACACAAGGAATCTGCCTGTCAAAGCACTGCCAGGAGAGAAAAGAGAGGAAAAGAGGGAAAAGAGGGAACAAGAGAGAAAAGGCCCATCCAGGCTGGGACTGGGAGTGGGGCCAGAGCAAGGCTGGGGAATGGCACTGAGGAGAATCCTGGGGCTGAGGGACATCCTGGGCATGGGGAACAGCTCTGGCATGAGGGGTGAGGGTGAAGGACAAGAAGGTTGGAGCAGTCTGGACAGACAGCAGGACTGGAGCAAGGCACAGCCCAGACAGGAGGAGAGAGGGGACACTGGTGATGCTGCCAGAAAAGCAAGATGGGTGTCCGCAGAGAGGGGGAAAGCCAGGGAAAGGCAGGGCTGGAGCAGCAGTGTGAGACAAACAAGCAGAGGTGGAATGAACCCTCCTGGGAAGGCTGGGGGATAAAAGCTGTAGCATCTGCTTAGGGTTCTCAAGCCTGTGGGTGGGTGGGGAACACACCTGAGTTCCACAGGGAGCTTAAATCACAGCCCTGTCTCACCAAAAACACTGCATAACAGAATATTCCAGACACCTCTGCATCCTTGTGAGTTTTTGAGTGTCCTGCCATGGTCACTGTGCAACTCAAATTTCCAACATGCTGATTCTGCAATGCTCAGTGAATTCTGGGTTCAGAAGGACTGGGTGTCCACACTGAGGGTGGATCTGACCCATGGGATCCGTGTTCCCACCAGATCTGTGCTCTCCTGAGCCCCTCACCTGTGAGAGCAGTGATTTCTGAGCTGCTTTGGGAAGGCCAGACCTTGGATGTTCTTTCCCAATTGCCCCCTCAGTGCCAGAGCAGGACACAGCAGCAGATCCTGTGCCAGCAATGTCTGGGTGAGAGCTCCAGAGTGTGTGGCCTTCCCATGTCAACCTAAGGAGAGAAATTCTTCCCCTTCTCCCACCCTGGACCAAAGCTTTTATTTCCTCATGGCTGTTCTAAATTATTTGATTCTTAACATCAACCCTGTCTTTTAAATTATACAACATTTTATGGATTTGCTTTAACCCAACCCAGCTTCCGCTTCTTTCAGTATTTGTGGTTTGCTTGCAATTCTTTACTGATAAAGAACCTGACTGTACCTTACAAATGATTTACCAGGATTCACTGATCCCTCCAATGTTCAGGAGTTCCTTGAGAAATATCCCTGTGTTTGGATGTGGGTGTGGATATGTAACTGTGTATTTTTATCCATGTTCTGGCACATTTTCCCTACCTCAGCTTGGTTAAGTGTGAGGGAACAAAGGCATGAGATGATCCAACTTGTCACAAAATGAGAAATGAAACGAGTGTTTGTCAGATTACACTGCCTGATAATTGCAAGAGTAAAAATCTGCAAAAACACAGGTACCAGAGCTCAACTGTTGCATCACAGCTCAGAGTACTGCTCCAGTTTGAAGCTGAAACATCCCCCAAGCCTCTCCTTTAGCCATGGCCTTTAAACAAACACCTGGGCTCTAACATGAGCAGAGGTTTTCATGAGCTCTGTGAAGGTCACTGCACAATTGGATTGTTTCTTTGATGGGTTATGTTGAAAGGAGAGGACTTTGTTCCATTAAAGTCTGACAGTTCAGGTTTGTGTGAATGAATGCCATCCAGCTTATCATCAGAGAAGAAAAATGTGAAGAAAAATTGTGCTTAAATTGAAAAGGTATGAAGAAATCTGAATTAACAAGTCCTCTGTGAAACCAAACCCTCTTCCAACTGCTCCTTTCTTTAAATGAAAATAATGAACACAAGTTAGCAGCAAAACCCCTCTGGCAGGCTCACCTGGTGTTTCATCCTCCTCCTCCCAGCCACAATCAACCGATAAAAAGAGTTTTGATAAACCCAGAAAGTTTAAAATACTCTTTCCAGAGAGTGTGACAAGGGAGGCACCGCCTTAGAGACTCATCCAACACCCTTTAATCTCACTGGTGCTTATCAATTTTGAAACAAAAGCAGGAAAGAACATAAGGATTTGGCTCACATGTATGCCTTGTAGTTACTGCCTATTTTTTGGATCCTGATGTCATATTTGGAGTCTATGAAGGGCTCAGTGGTGGCGTAGGTCTGAGTGAGTGCTACCACGCTGGCTATGTCCTGAAAATCGTAGTGGTTGTCTACCTTGATCTGGAGCCATCAAGCCACAAGAACACAGCACAGACAAAAGAAGAAAAGAGTAATTAGGAATTAAATGTGGAATTTGGTTGCAAATGGCATTTGTGAGAAGCACGTTTTTGACAACATTAAAAAAACCTGATATTTAATCTGATTTCTAGGTTCTGTAACATTCCTGTTTTAAAATATCTATTTTTCTAGGCAAAATATTACCTGTTCATTTGGAGAAAACAATTTGCAGGTACTGTTGGGGAATTTTTTGGGTTTTGTTTTTTTGGTTTTGGGGTTTTTTTGGGGTTTTTTGGTGTTTTTGTTTGTTTGTTGTTTTTTTTTTTGAGGGGGGTTTTTTGCAGTTAGTCAACTATAGATCTGCAGGCCTCGATTTTTTTTTTTTTTTTTTTTTTTTTTTTTTTTTTTAGGTGTGACATGCAATTCCAATGGATGTAGGTTCTTTTTGATTCTGTAAATTGCTCTGGTAACTGAATAGGTGTGGAGCCCACCAGGAATTTTCACATCATCCCATCAGCCTTTCCCATGAGGGAGGAGCTGAAGGGTCCCTATATCCTGGGGAGGGCAGGAGCACAGGGAGCACAGAGGGCGGGCTCCAGGCAGCAGACTTTATTCTCATTTTCCATTATTCTCATTTCCCCCCTGCTCTGAAGGAGCTGGGCTTTCCAGGGTGAGATTTCCCAGGTGTGGAACGCTCTGCTGAGGTGCAGAGAGACACTAAAACCACCAGCTTTTACACCTTGAAGGGAGGGGGGATGGACAAGTGGGGAATGCTGATCTAGGGGAAAGGAGAAGGAGATTTTGGAGGGCAGAGGGAGGACAGAGACATCACCTCTGGGCAGGGAGGGCAATCCTTGTGAGGAACTCAGAGCTGGGCAAGCAGGAGTGAAACAGGAGAGTGGGCTCTGACCCAAAGGGATTTCAGAGTGCTGAGGAGCAGACAGGGTCAGGATTTCCCAGGGTGGCCAACATGAGGAGTTTGCAGCTCTTTGCAAGCCCAGCATCCTGCTTGCTTCTCCTTCTCCTGGGGCTGGAAAACCTGAGGGCCACCACTGGGAGGTGGCACAATAAATGGAATTTGGTGGAGATAAAAGGCTGAAGCCTAAGTATTCGCCCCCAGATGGAGAAAGATAGAGAGTAATTTGCCATTTGAGAGCCACAAACCAGACGTGAGGTCTGGTTGCTGCTTGATTTTCTGAGGACTGACTGGCCTGGGTGGGTCTAACTGGGACCGCTGGAGATGCTGCTGCCAGCAGTGCCCTCAGGGAGGGCTGGGCTTCCAGGGGAACCTTCCTTTGCTCTGTGATTGCATTTAATCCTGGAGGGTTTTAAATATGTCGTAGCTAAAAGAAGAAAATCATTTCTAGACATTTGATATGAGGAGCATTTCTGTGCATTATTTCTCCTTTTCTCTAAATGAGAGGTGAATATCCAAAGTACAGCATAAACATTCTAACACTTTACATATGCAATCCACAGAAAGTGCAGTTTAATTAGTGGTTCACTCTGCCCTCAGTTAAATTGGCTGCTGGACTTCCAATGATTTACTAAATATGAAACAAAGCAAAACAGTCATAGGCAAAAAATAACATACAGTACAAGCTCTAATTAAATCAGTTTTCTATATCAAAGTAGTGGCAAATACTATGTTCATGGAGTTTTGGAGATTCAGGATGATAAATGTAACTATTCTCTGATTAATTGTTTTAAAATCTAACCACTTCTGGCACTAAAGTGTTTTCAGTGAGTGAAGTTACCCTGCAAGGAGTAGAAGTTGTCACTGATAGCAGTGAAAATGGGATTTAAATGCTCTCCCATCGGCCCTGCACTGTGAGATAAGTGACACCAAAACATCTGTACTCACCACTGAAAGGCAATTACTTTGGAGAAAGAAAGCAGCAATTATACAAAGGCATGAAACAATCACACACAACACATCTAGACAGGAAATCAACATTCAGTATCAAGCTGAAACCAACAAAAAACCAAGGCAAAACCTTCCCACACTCCCAGCTCCAAAAAGTTGGATTGTGCAACAGACCTTGACTCTTGAAGAGTTTCAGTGTGGACAATACATTAATAAACAAGGTTTTGCTTCAGAAAGCATCTCAACACATCCCACACAGGACAACTCTCAAACTGCAGAGGCCTCGTTGTAAGAATACTTTGGGCATGTTTAATTTTCCTAAAGAGAGACGCTTTCTGAAGCATGGACAGGCAGAGATTCGCAAGGGGGGGATCCGAGACAGAGTCTGGGTAGATCCAAGGTGGAATCTCAGGGAAGGAAGGAGCATGCACAGGTAAGGGACAAACCCCAGGCTCCCAACATGCAACAAGCAGCATCTGCACCTTTCCCATGCCTGAGTGAGCATGTCCAATCTTCACAACAACAGGAAAGGTTGGCATTGTGAGCTGGGGGGAAACAAAACAGGAACGTTAGAGAAGAGAGCGACCACGAGCTCAGTGATTAAACAGCATCATCTAGGGAAATTATTGAAACATGATCATAATGTGGCCAAAGCTGTTCTGGCCATGTGGAGCCTCAAACTCTTCATCCTCTGTGTTCTGGTGACTTGCTGGGTGTATTTTCTGAGCACAGTGTTATTCCCAATACAACCAGTTGGCGTTCTCCACTTTTCTTAACCTTAACATTTTTTGTATGTCTTTTAACTCCACTTTTTGAACTGAATTCCTGCTGTTTCCTATTTTAAGTTTAGCTTCTGTGTTTTCTGACCCACAAACTCACACTCTCCAAGGCTGTAATCAGTAATGATGCCAAATTAACCACCTTTTCCCCTTCATTTCCACTATTCAGCAGGGCTGTAAATACATTTTCTGGCCACATATGAAAGCAGTGATGTCTAATTCACATTAACTTGCTTTAAAGGCATGTCCTAGCTTGTGATACACAACATCCAAGTTTTCTAGGGAAGGTTCCAGCTTCTGCCCAGAATGCAGGGAATAATTTGGAATAATCCAACCACTGAGTAGGAAGTCAAATATACAGAAGTATATGAAAACACTTTATCCAGTGAAATGGGAATACTTGTCTCTCAAAAAGTGACCACTTTCACTTCCATCATTCACTTGAAAAAGTTTGAGATCTGCCAGTCATGGCCATGGTTGGCACTGCTTTTTTCCCACTTGAAATTTGTATCTATGGAACCTCTATCACTCAAGTACAAACCTCATTTCACAGAAGAGGTTTATAACCAGAAATAAAAAGCTGAACACCTTCAACATGTAATTAAACTGGGCAGCAGCAGGACAGTGTTACAGGCTCCAAACCCTTCCTTTAGTGCCACATTCCAGCACAATTAATACAGAGGCAAAGCTGATGCTCTGGAACATAAACTAAGAATTTTTAGAGGTTTTATGAGACACTGATTGGTTTCAGAATAACCAGAAGCACTTGCATTGCACAGTAAAAGTCACTCCTACAGGAATTTAGGAATGAAGTTCTTGTTAACTGCAGCAACCAAAGTTCCTGCTTAGTCAACATCCAGTCACTGGTGCATCACTTTATGGTTTTAAACCAGGCTCTTTTTTTCAGTTCTTGGGAGTAGGAGGGGAACAAATAATTGCCAGACTGGAGATTCATCAGGGCAGCAGCACATTTCTGTGTCTGAGCTGCAAACCACTGCAGTGGGGTTTGTAATGGAAGTGCTGCAGACCTCTGAGCACAGCAGTGCACATGGCACTCCTGTAATTAACAGGGCCACGGATCTTCCTGTGATCCCAAAGCTGTGGAATCCTCTGTGGGCCACAGCAACCAACACAGCTCACATTAAAAAAAAAAAAAAAAAAAAGAAAGAAAAAGGGGGGAAAAAGTGATTTCTCCCTCAGAAAAATGCAGTAACATCATTTTCTCTGGACCCTGATCCTGAAATTCCATATGCTCCACCACATCCCAGCACAGACTGAGGGAAGAGGCTCTGGATGCTGCAGCTCAAACTTCAGAGAGGAAAAAACCAGGCAGGGGAAATTCAATGATCCCAGCACTTCTCTTGTTTGTAGCTGTCCCTGGGACAGGTTCATGAAGTTCAGCAGTTGTTATTTTGGGGTTTGAGCAGCTTTTCCTTTATTGCTGCTCTGATTTTTATTATCCCAGTCTTCCCTCTGCCACGGTGCAGCACCTCTCTGCCACCAGCCCATGGCCAGGGGGTTGTTCTGCCAACAAAACCTGAAATGCCCCATGGAAATCAAAGAAAACCTGACTGAATCCTCCCATCCCATTTCCCAGTCTGCTCTTTTCTGGTCGTTTTGGCAGAACAGGCACTCCTCAGACCATTCCTGCATTTGGTGAACATTATATATGATACAAGTGTGATAGTGACAGTGAAAATTAACCAGGTCCATGGATTTCCCTTGAATTTGCATTATAATTCCTGATAATTGTTATCATTTATCATTTATATTATAATTAGTGTTATAAAAGCTGTTTGAGGAGAAAAAGCCTGTTTGCAAAAATATTGTGGATTTTTGGAAAGTTTTCTTAAAATCAGAAAAGTAAAAATTCGACAAATTCTAGAGGTTCTAAAAATTCTACATTCTAAGAATTCAGAAATTTAACTCTGGCAATTAAAAACTGAGGGGAAAAAACCTAAAGAGCAACCAAAGAAATTGAGAAATATGCCAAGTTCATAAATGTGAGAGATGGAAGGGTCTGCACTGCATGAGCCCTTCCACACACTTATAATATCCACAAAATACAGCAGAATAAAAAATAGGATTACCAGAAGTTCTAACTTAAATAGCTATGCAATAAACTACTGTTATTAATTAGACAGAAACCAGAATATTTGGCAAATGTGGAATAAAATATTCAAAATGTATAGTCATATACAAATATCATTGGATTGGTAATAAATATTGGTAGCAAATGGAAAAACTCCTGGCTTGTTGTGGGAACAGATATGCAAACAGCTGAGGAACACATTGACAGTGGCCAATCCAATGCCATTAATCAAAATAACACCAGGGAAAACTCAAATTTTATCCAGGGAGGATAAATGTCACTTCTAGATGAGCATGAAAATCTAAAAAGCCAGTTCATTTCATTATTCCCTTATTGATGTCACAACAGCAAGGATAATTATTATTAATGATGGTTTCTTAACATTTAATCTACATCAACTTTTAAAATTTAGGATGTTTTTTTGCACTATGAGCTTAAAAGGCAAATACTTTATTGTATCAATCTTCAGTATCTGGCCACCTAAAGATTTCAGAACTGTGCTTAGTTTAGTTTTAACGTAGAAAGGAATGTTCTAGTTTGATAAAATTCCACAATACCTCCAATATCACCCTGGCTAATCTGTGGCGCAGGTAATTCAGTGACCCAGTAAGTGGCTATAGAATTAACCAGCACAGTCCCCATCTGGATTGTTCTTTGCATTTTTCCATATTGAGTGGAGATCCCTACCCTCCCCTACTGCAGAAATTTTCTGGAGTTTCTTAGTCTGGTTAATAGAGTGTCATCTTGCAATTCTAAGTCTATAAATTTAAAATAAAACCTTCAAATTTCAGCTTCATACACTGTGGTGCTCAATGGTTTATAAATTCTACTGCAATTTAAATATTTTTTAACAATTACAATACAAGCTGTTTTTTTTCCCAAGAGATATAATTTGAATTCTTCTAAATTTACTTTGAATTCTTTTAACTGAGACATAGTGTGAAATATAATCAAAGACTTCTATAAAAATAGAACCAGGCAAAGATTATCTGCAAAAAAAAAAGTAAAAAAAACCCTCTGCTGGCAACAATACAGACAACAGAGTTTTCTGAAGGTGGTATTCACCCTGCTTTCATGTCCTCGGGGTTGAGCAGACTAAAAAAGCCACAATAGGAAAAAAAAAGAGGGGGCGGAGAAGCAGTGACAAAAAAACCCCAGATGTTGCATAAACATGACTTACCTCAAGTTCAATGTTTAAATATTTATCTTTCCAATAATCCCCAAGCAAAGTTCATTTAACCACTCTAGTTCCATGTAATTTGTTTGTGGAATATGCATCAGCCTAAATCTAATTTTGCTCTGCTTACTTTGGAGAAAGGAAATTAAAAGTGAAATAATGAAGGTGGCCTTTTATTCATTTTTTTTTTTTCTTTCCCAGAAACAGGCAGGAAGAGCCCTAAATCAATAAACAAGCAGCAGATGTACTTTCTCTGGTCTGTTTGGTTTGCAGAAAACACAATTTCCAGATCAAGTGGGGGCTCAGCCAGGCAGGAGCTTTGTCACCAGCAGGGCCAGCCCAGCCCTGGCCTCTCAGCAGAAAACCCCACACCCCACCAGCTGCTGCCCTCAACAAACACAGGCACAATTTTGGGGATGTGGAGCCACATTTTCCCCCTGGCAGCTGGAAGTAGGTGTAAAACTCTCTCTGCAAGGAGTAAGGTTTAATACCCACAAGCCAAGGGGGAGGCTGAGGTGATTTGTTCTATCTTTTTAGCTAGGGCAGTGAGGAAACTAAAAGTTCAAGGGGATAAAAAGAGTAGAGCTTAAATTTATTAGTGGGAGAGGAAAATGTGCCTGATCTGTGAGTCTTTGACCCAAAATTGAAGGTTGAAGTGGTTTGTGTTAGTGTAACACAGGTCCCAGGGTCACCTGAGTTCCCAGGGCCATTGTGGGAATTGGTGCAGAATGGGAGTTCTGATCTCCCTGTGACCCTGCCACAGCACCTGGAGGGGCTGGAGCCCCACAGAGCAGCCCCACGTGCCCCCCAAAATCAGCCCAGGCTGGAGAGGGTCCTGGGGCATGGAGTCACTCCACCAGACCACCAGGAGATCCCCCTAAGATGCCTTTGCCCCCACAACTGCTGTGTCTGTTAAAAAATCCCAGTGATCTCAATGAACACAGAGTGATCTGATGGCAGAAAGTCTGCTGACAGCAAACCTGCACAGCATGAAAACAGAAATTGTCATTAGGAAGGAAAACACAAAGTTTAATTGCAGTGAAACAATGGGAGCAGCTCCCACAGAGGTCTGGAAGAAACTCTGAAGACAAAAACTCTGCAGAAACAAATTCTATTTTGATTTTGGCGTGTCAGTGTTTAATTCATCCTTCCACCAACTATTTGGAAAACTGCTGCCTCGAAAGTCAAGTCACACTTTGCCACCTTATAAACAATTACCCAAATTGCTGTGCCTATAAACTGTAAGGATTTTTACTGGAGTGTTTCAGAGGTGACAGCCCTAAATACCCTCCTGTTTGAAGCAGGCTGGAGCTCATACAGAGGCACTGGAATTTAAAATCCAGAAAAGCTCACCTATTTTGTGAAATGCTATTCTGAATTTTCAACATGATTGTACAGGTGAGGTACAGGATGTGTAGTGTGACTTCATCAGGTAAAATGAAAGTAGATTTTAGAAGTAATTGCAGTGCCAAATGAGAGCCAGGGAGGAAAGAACCGAGTCAAAGCATCGAGTAGGCAACAGATAAATAATTATGGGTTGTTGGAATCCAAAACCCAAAGAACCCTCAGAACTTTGGGCCTGTAAGCCAAAGCTTAGAATTAAACACAAGATTTGATCTGAAACCTTGGAAAAGGCTTCCAAACTTAAGTGCTAGAAGCAAGAATGTGGATTTACAGTTTAAAGCAGAAACACGCTAAGCTAAGTAAAAGAAAGTTTAGAGTTTAAGAGTTTAAAATATAGAAAAAACAGAAGTAGTTACAGATGTAAACAAGGAGTTTAGAATGCAGTACTATAGGTTTGTGTGTCATAACATGATTAGCTAAAAAAAACTTACACTGTAGCACGAGTCCATAAAACAAAATAATTAAAATTAGGTGAAAACCATAAATATCCTTGTTAGCAGTATTTTATTAGTCAATAACTCCTTAAAAAGTCTTGTAACTAAGGGTCTTGTGACCTTCTGAGCCGTGCTGTAGTAATGTGAACCGAATTCACCCTTTCTACCTATGTAGAAGCTAAGAAAAATAAACCACATCATCAAAAATAATTCAGAGGGCCTGTCTCAAATTCCTTCCAAAATTCCCCACAAGTGAATTATCACAATGGGTGTGGAAGCTCCTGACCGCTACTGTTCTCAAGTAAGATTCATTTGCCACAATGAAGAGAAAATCAGTTTGATATGGATAAAAAATCGTACTCTGTGTGCTGGCAGGAGTAAAGCACAGAGCAGGCAGCCCAAGCAGGAGATCTGAGTAGACTCAAACTGCCTGACAGCTGGAAGGGACAATGAGGTGGCTGTGGCACATCCCATGCAAATGAAAAACCTTTCAAAAAGCTGTCAGGATAATCCCTGTGCAGCAGAGATCAGCGTGCCCTGACACAGCTCCCAGGCTGAGAGTGAGCTCCATCCCAGCACAGCAATGCTGGAGAGCAGCACCCAGGGATGGACAGAGTGAGCAGCACCCAGGGATGGACAGAGTGAGCAGCACCCAGGGATGGACAGAGTGAGCAGCACCCAGGGATGGACAGAGTGAGCAGCGCCCAGGGATGGACAGAGTGAGCAGTGCCCAGGGATGGACAGAGTGAGCAGTGCCCAGGGATGGACAGACTGAGCAGTGCCTGGGGATGGACAGAGTGAGCAGCACCCAGGGATGCACAGAGTGAGCAGCACCCAGGGATGGACAGAGTGAGCAGTGCCCAGGGATGGACAGACTGCACAGTGCCCAGGGATGGACAGAGTGAGCAGTGCCCAGGGATGGACAGAGTGATCAGTGCCCATGGATGGACAGAGTGAGCAGTGCCCAGGGATGGACAGAGTGAGCAGCACCCAGGGATGGACAGACTGCACAGTGCCCAGGGATGGACAGAGTGAGCAGTGCCCAGGGATGGACAGAGTGAGCAGTGCCCAGGGATGGACAGAGTGAGCAGCACCCAGGGATGGACAGAGTGAGCAGTGCCCAGGGATGGACAGAGTGAGCAGAGCCCAGGGATGGACAGAGTGAGCAGTGCCCAGGGATGGACAGACTGCACAGTGCCCAGGGATGGACAGAGTGAGCAGTGCCCAGGGATGGACAGAGTGAGCAGCACCCAGGGATGGACAGAGTGAGCAGAGCCCAGGGATGGACAGAGTGAGCAGAGCCCAGGGATGGACAGACTGCACAGTGCCCAGGGATGGACAGAGTGAGCAGCGCCCAGGGATGGACAGACTGCACAGTGCCCAGGGATGGACAGAGGGACCAGTGCCCGGGGATGGACAGAGTGAGCAGTGCCCAGGGATGGACAGACTGCACAGTGCCCAGGGATGGACAGACTGCACAGTGCCCAGGGATGGACAGAGTGAGCAGCGCCCAGGGATGGACAGACTGCACAGTGCCCAGGGATGGACAGAGGGACCAGTGCCCGGGGATGGACAGAGTGAGCAGTGCCCAGGGATGGACAGACTGAGCAGTGCCCAGGGATGGACAGAGTGAGCAGCGCTGCCTCTGGAAACTGGGCTGGGCAGGACAGAGCAAAGGCAGGAGGGAATCCCAGCACCAGGCTTATCCTGCAGCCCTGGGTTATTCCGGAATCCTGGATATTTCCGAAATCCTGGGTTATCCTGAAATCCTGGGTTATCCTGAAATCCTGAGTTTTCCTCAGCCCTGGGTTTTCCTTCGCTTTGGGTTCTCTCAGCCCTGGGTTATCTTCAGCCCTGGGCTATCCTGGAATCCTGGGTTATTCCCAGCCCTGCTGTATCCCAGCCCTGCTGTATCCCAGCCCTGGGTGTCCCTGCAGCCAAAGGCTGAGGGTGACAGGAGGGATGGGCAGGAGGGATGGGCAGGGTCCCCGCGGGGCAGAGCTGCCCTGGCACAGCTGCCCCTCCCTGCCAAGCTCTCAGGGTGATGTCCCTCATTCATTCCTCCGTCACCTGTCACCTCCAGAGGGCAAAATGTCCCAAACTCTGGGGCCCAGGGCTATCATCCAACAGCAGGAGCCCAGTGGATTTAGTGCAGGACTCTGGGGGCTGTTAGAAGACAATCAATGATGGTAATTAATGCCCACACTGCTGTTGGTGGGCACTAATCATTGGAAAAAATAACAAAAATAATGTGCATTCTACACGTTCAGTTGAAAGCATTTGATTTTCTTCTATATCTAGAAGATAGTGGACAACTAATTTGTAACTTGTAGTAAAATAATTTAAAATTTTTTTTCTGAGCATAATATTCATCTATTGATTATATAATTAATTTGATTGTACTAGGGAGAAAAGTCTTCAGGACACTCAGAACATAGCTGGATGTGTTGTTCTGGAGAATTCTGGACAAAATGTTCCTTAGGGACCGGTAGAGAAGAGTGTTTGCCCAACATATTTCTTTATTATTTGAATTTTGTGAATTGAATTTGATATTGAATTTGATCAAATTGGTCTATTTATATCATCTGTAACAGCAGCCCTGTGATGGAAACCAATCAATGGCTCCCAATTAATTCCTTCATCACTTCCCAGTCTGAGGTTTGGGAATTGGCAGTCCCAGAGGTGCTGACCCCAGGCCTGGCACACCTGCCCAGGGTTTTCCTGGAACTCCCCATGCAAGTTTCCAGCCCTTCTCATCCCTTCCCTCACATGAAAGAAGTCCATTCCTTCTAGGTAAGAACAGAGATGTTAACAGGTCTAAATTATTTTCAGGTGCTAGTCCTGGGCTGGGATCCAACCTTATGATTTGAAGCCAAAACTTTAGACTGGAAAAATAAAAAATCCAAGTGTGGCTGCGTGAAATCAGGACATTTTGTACAGGATTCCTGGCTCAGTGTTTGGTGTGGATCTAAAGGCTAAAAACTAGACACAGTTCTAATAATTCTGAATATTTGTGGGTTTTTTCCTAACAGACAGAGTGTGTCTTGAGGAGGATGGGAATTAAAAAGAAAAATAATCAGAGCACTAATATTTGTATAACTGTTCAGAAATGAAAGAAATCTGCTGTTGTAAAACATGTACACTTCTCTCTAAAGGTAGCAAGCTGCTTTGGGCACACCTAAACCTCAACAAAATACATTTTCATGAGCCTGGATTGGAGTGGTTCAGGTCATGTTAATGAATTTTCAATTCCTAGGCTTGATTTGGGTTGTGACAAAACACAGAATTGTATGAGCAGTCCTGTCCTGCATGCCAATCCAGAGATGTTCTTTATTACTCTCTAATCAAACCTTGGGTTGCTTCCTCATGGAACATTTTTCTTTATAAAAAGAGGGTACCCACAGGTTACACACATCCAGATTGCCACAGCAAGCAAAGCTCTGAGGGTGAAAAGGATTTCTGAACTCTGCATTTATTCCACTGAATCCCACTTCCAACATCAGCCAGGAAATACAGGCACAGATCTGCTCTGAGCAGGATTTGCATTAATAAGGAATGCAGGGAAGGAGCTGTGCCTCCAAAACACACCACTGGGATATTTTCCTTGCTATTCTAAATTAAATCTGCGATGAAATAATTTCGTTTAAAATGCCTTTTATTGCGGCTTTGATTTGTAGTTGGTTGTTCCCTGTGACCAGCGATTGTTGGAGGCTCACAAGCAGAGCATTGAGAGGTTTCCTTTTCATGAATGAAGTTCTGTCCAGCCTGCGAACAGGGACGGCAGCTCAGGAAAGCGCAGGGCAAGATCGGGGGCTGCGAATGCAAACGGAGCTTAAAACAGGACAGCTCTGTTTATTTGCCCAAAATAAGACCGCGGGGCCGGCTTTTAAATCCAAACTGGGCGCAAACTTACTCGGAGGCGCTAAAACGCTCAGAAAATCAGCTTCAGCTCCGCGTAAAAGCTGGTTTTGCGGCAGATTTGGCGATTAACATTTTCGCTCCGGAGCTTCTTCGGGACGAATAAACGAGCTTTGACTGGCGGGAGGGCGGAGCCGGGGCTCGGCTGCGGGGCCATAAATAAGAGGGTCCCATGTCGGGGCGCTCCGGAGCCAGCGAGCACCGGCGGCGCTCGGAGCGAGCGGCGCGGCCCGAGCATCCCGAGCATCCCGAGCATCCCGAGCATCCCCGGGACAGCGCGGCTGCGGCAGCGCCTCTCCCGGTGCGGAGATGATCCCGGCGGGCAGCGGGAGCCCCGGCAGCCCCGGGAGCCGGGGGGCAGCGCTGCTGCTGGCGCTGGCGCTGGCGCTGCCCGCGGCCGTGTCCGGCTGTAGCTGCGCGCCCGCGCACCCGCAGCAGCTGCTGTGCGATGCTGCGCTCGGTGAGTCCGCGGAGCTCCGCGGGGCTCGGCTGCGCCGGGGAAAGGGGAAAGGGGAAAGGGCGGGGGGATTGTTCTGTGCTGCCCCCAAGGCGGCGGATGGGTGCCGGGGGTTGCTCTGCTCCCCGCGTGCTGCCGGGAGGGTTTGTGGTTATACATTGCTGGGGTTGCTGGGTTGGAGAGTGGCTCTTTATTTATTTATTTATTTATTATATCTATTGTCTTTATTTGTTTGAATATCTATATCTCTTTCTATATCTCTTTCTATATCTCTTTCTATATCTCTTTCTATATCTCTTTCTATATCTCTTTCTATATCTCTTTCTATATCTCTTTCGATATATCTCTTTCGATATATCTCTTTCTATATATCTCTTTCTATATATCTCTTTCTGTATCTCTTTCTATATCTCTTTCTATATCTCTTTCTATATCTCTTTTTATATCTCTTTCTATATTTTTATATAAATTTTTATATATATACTCTTTTTACATTATATTTTATTTCTACATCTCTTTCTGTATCTCTTTCTGTATCTCTTTCTGTATCTCTTTCTGTATCTCTTTCTGTATTTTTATATAAATTTTTATATATATACTATTTTTACATTATATCTCTTTCTATATCTCTTTCTATATCTCTTTCTATATCTCTTTCTGTATTTTTATATAAATTTTTATATATATACTATTTTTACATTATATCCCTTTCTATATCCCTTTCTATATCCCTTTCTATATCCCTTTCTATATCCCTTTCTATATCCCTTTCTATATCCCTTTCTATATCCCTTTCTATATCCCTTTCTATATCTCTTTCTATTTTTATATCAATTTATATATATATTCACTATTTTTATATTCTATGTCATATATAATTCTATCTTATTAATTTATGTTTTATGTATTTTATGTGCACTATATATTAATATATTTTATGTGCACTATATATTAATATATTTATGTGCATTTTATATGAATGTCTTTTTATCTTTTAGGTCTTTTATGTAATTGATGTATTCTCTTGTATTTTATATATTTTGTATCTATTCTATATAACAGATATTTTTATACTTTATATATGGTACGTATTTTATATACATTATACACTTATATATTTGTATATTAGGTCCTAACTTAGAAAGTACCTGAGCTTTCAAATATCTACTGTGATATTTAGCAGTATTTGCTATATATAAAATATTCTGTCTACTAGATATAAATTATTCTATCTCAATATGCCTGCAATGTGTAAACTGGTCATATAGATATTTTTATAGCACTTCAGGGGAACAAAAACCCAACTAACCAAACAAAAAAAAACCCCAAAAGCCCCCCAAAACCCAAAAAACTCAAAAACCCAAAGGATGACAAAGTGTAAGTCCCCAGTGCTAACTTGCTTAAACTTTTAGCTTTGTTCTGCTATTCTATACTTTCTTTAATTTATTCATGGGGTTTTCTGTCATTTTCTGGAGCAGGAAACTGATGGGCCCTTTATTTTCTGCAGATAAAGTGGCTACAGCAGCTCTGTGTGAACGTAACTCTCCAGATTTGGGACAATTGTGCCTCATGACAGCCAGGCAGCACCATGGTTGTCAAACAACTCATAGAAAGGGCCTAAAGATCCCAAAATTAGCCTTCAGGGGGATGAGAAAATGTGACATTTTGAGAAAATGTGACATTTTGCAGCCTTTTGATTTCATTAGCTCAGGCTAAGGCTGGTTAGCTTCCATGGGGTGTGAACAGTAAATGTAGAACATGAGTTTCCAAAGTGCCACAGAATTAGCATCTCTATGGGGCAGGCAATACCTTCTGCATACTGATTCATTGCTTTTATGCCCTGACAGAAAATCTTTGTGGCCATGACAAACTCTGAGCTCTGTTTGTGGCCATCAGTTAAATTGGTTTTTAATCTGCCCGTGTTCAGCAATCTCTTTCGTGGAGGTACCTCCACCAGGCATTACATGCTTGGGGGTGTTTAAGGAGTGAAAGGAAATAAAAGTTGGGCTACACCTAAATATGTGTGCATTTAGCTGTGCATGAGAAAGTGACAGCTTTTCAACAGACTTAATGTAAAAATTTTCCAAAATTAACAATTTTACAGTATAGAGGAAACTCAAACTGTTCATTGTTGGCCATCTTATTGAATATTTTCATTCATAGAGAAGCCATTCTGATGATACGGATTAATACTTACTCATTTCTTAGATGTATTTTACAAATAGGAACTATATCATGCTACTTTTTATTTAAATACTTACAATAGTTTTATGTTACGATGTTTGGATTTGATGCTCAAGCTCTCACTCCTATAAATATTGCTATCTAAGTAAACTTCCTCTTTAGGCTGAGGAATGTTTATGTCAAGGATCCCTTTGTTCACTATTTGTACTTTTAAAACACCATTTCTGTATGTCACAAAATGGGAGATGAAGGGAATTCTTCATACCTATAAGTGCACACATATTTTTTGTATACATTTGAATATACACACACACAAAACCTGCTCTGAGCGTTCATGGCTGAATTACTGGATATGCTTTGGCCACAACATTCTGCACAAGTGGAGCTGCCTGTCCTGTGTGAGAGGAAGCTCCAGGGAGCAGCTTGGCAGAGCAGCTCCCCCAGGCTGGTGCCAGCAGCCTTTGTGCCCAGGAGAGGAGCTGTGCCCGGCAGGAAGGGGCACCCCGGGCTGCAGCCCTGGCCAGGCACTGCTCATCCCCTGGGAATTGGGGCTGTGCCTCCACAGCTGCCTGGGGACACACCTGTGGCATTGGGGACACACCTGTGGCATCAGGGACCTCAGGGCCACCTGGCTCCCAGCCATGTGCTGAGACTGTTCCAGTTCTTCAGTTATTAAATTCATTAATTAATTCATTAAGTTCATCCTGTCTAGCCACAGACACAGCCAAGGACTCCCTCGCAGGATTTCCTAGCACATCTTCTTAAAATAAAGATGCCCTGACCCAAAACTCTGCAGTAAAACCAGAGATAAAGTCTCAAACATGTGGAGCTACCAAGCACCACATGTCCTCCAGCCACTGTGTAAAGGTAACATTTTTAATTTCCTCCAGCATGACTGTGGTGGAGGTGGAGGGATTGAATTGATGTTCCCTGAACCTCTAATTGAATGTGCAAAGCCACTCAGCAACAGCATTTTTGAGAGATCCGAGGAAAAACAAGCACAGAAATTAATTAAGTCTGGACAATCTCTTTTGCTTTGCCTTTTGTTAAGATGATTGGTGTTGTGACACTTTGTCCTTCATTGCCAGGACGTTTTTGTGGCTTTAAATGCCCACAGGCAGCCCAGAACCTGAGAGTGATCGGGGGATGTCTGATAGAGCTCCTGGTCCTGCCCAAAATCAGGGATGAGTGGAGAGGCCTGCAGGGCTGAGGCTTGGGAAGGACTGTGGGATTTGCCAGGGTAAATCAGGAGTGCTGTGCCACTCCTGCCATCTACCTGACCCTGCATTTATTCATCCTCCCACAGAGCCTTCAGAAGATGTGATTTTGTACAGTTTTATTATTGCTGCCAGTAATGAAGGGCTGGGTCTATTTTCAAGCTAAGAATGATTTATTGCTCAGACAAACATCAGTCTCAGAGGCTGTGAGATTCTAGAGGATCAAACATTCGGCCACAGCTCACAGTAGTCACAAGTGCTTCTTACAAGGCAATACAGAACTTTCTAACCCAATGGAGAGTTCCCACAGAATTTATTTTGCTTTTCTAACCCATCACCTTTACTTACTTGTGCTGCACTGCAGATATTTTTGTCCAATGGCTTCTGTCTCACTTGCACACAAATGCTTCTGTTATAACTTCTAAACTCCAGCTCACTCCACACAGCCACACCCCTACATGATAAACCCTTCACCATCTTATCAGTACAGGTTCTCACTTACTTAAGGCATATTCTTGCTTACAACTGTAGAAACACAAGTTTATTATTTTTCTGCTTAGTGTCTGTGTATTGTATTTTTACATCAGTCCAAGCTTCTTCCGAGGCTGCAGATCAAACTCCTCAGTGTCTGTGGGAGTTTCTGTTTTCCTGATTCCCACAGTACAGGTTGCAGGAATTGTCATGAGCTTCTCAGTAGTTTTAAATTTCAATTGAGAGTCAAGTAACTCATTTGTAGGAAGTGCATACATACACACCTTTTACACAAAACCAGTGCAAATTTTCTTTAGGTACGCCAGAATTAAGTTTTCTGAGTCAGCTCTTCTGGGAGATAATCACAATATGCTATTTCTTCATTAGTGGGTTTCAAATGAAAACCTTCATGGCTCAGTGTCCCATGATTTTGCCTCTCTGCCATGTAATATCCAGTTTTGTGCTGGAATGGATTAATTTGTACATTATTTAGTGGGAAGTAATTTTTGCCCGGTGGGAAAAATCAGCTTTAGGGAATGTATTGGAAACGAGGATGGTGCTTGTTCCAAGGGAGGAGAGGAAAGGTGAGCAGTGAAATTCAATGTTTTATTGTTATTTTATTGTGTTATACACAGTAAAACTGGGCAGGTCTGGTCACTGCCTGCCCAGCCTGCTGAGCCTTTCAGGGGGGGTCTGACACCAAATTCTGCAGTGATGCCATTGCCCCGTGTGGCTTTGGGGGCTCAGTGTCCATCCAAGCAGTGGAGCCCTTGAACCTCAAGAATTGGGGATCCTTGGTTCTTTAAAAATGCCCTTTTGTGCCAAACTTAATTATACAAAGCACAGTGATGTGAAAACCTTGGCTTTCTGTGGAGGTTTTTGTGAATCCTATTAAAAATTTGGACTCTTGATGCTGATGCTTGGGCAAGAGAGCTCCTGGCAGGATCCTGGGTCATAGGCACCCAGACACCCCCTGACCTGGGCTCGGGGAATCCTGCAATTCCCACAGCTTTTTGGGCTTCTCCATAGCAGGGAAAATTCATTTCTCTTCCTGTCCTGCTGAGCAGAGGTAGATCCCAGTGCTTTGCACCACCTCCTTCCCCTGAGTGCAAACCAGAGCCAGTAATGCAC